TGCAATAACGAGTTATCGCATCCTGGATGCGATAAATAATGGGAATCGCAAAGTGGGAGTTATTGCAAGATTTTGTATTACTATTATCGCAAATCCACTGTCAGTGCGATTTTCTAAATTAAATTCAAATTCTCTCTTTTCCACGAAGACACGTACTGAGAATGCCATTGTCAAGAAAATAATCAATTCCGAGCTGCACGAAAATCTTCAAAGTTAGATAGGCCTGTAGCTTCAAAATTTTAAGACCGCCAACCGCCACCCACCTACAAGTTTACCAACTCACACGTTGCTTACATATCCTTTTGTTCAGTTTTTATAGTTAGTGCGCCCTAAAAGGAAATTCAAGGGGGGACCAAATATTTTGTTTTACCCCTTCGTTTCTTATTTTTCGTGACTCTGCTTATTGCGAATAGTCTCAAATTTTAAGTTTTCATGCAAACAAATAGCTCGCTGATACCCCTGCGAGTTTCCTGCTCTTTTTCTTCTTCTTTTATCCCTTTTGATTTCGTACTGCCATTCCATATTTGTCCATCTTAAAATAGGCTCACGTTGGGGCTAGAACAGACAGCAGCTTTAAAACGTTCATCATTTTATTCCATGTTTTTAACTTTTTGAGACTTTTCCCCTCGTACAGTCTTTTTATTCCCGTTACTGCACATTAACTACAAGATGTACGTGTCATTTCATCAAAACTACTGGCTCCTTAAAACATTTTCAGCTACAGTGGTTAGTCTTTGAAAAGGTTATGTATTCTACTTGAAGTGTTTGGTATTTTGCAGGGATGATGAGGATTTATTGCTAGAAGATCTTCAATTTAAGGCAGCTAAACTGTTAATTTACTTAAGAGAAGTCGACAATGCAACAAACAAAATTCAACAAAGGGTGAAGAAAGGGGTGGATGAAATGTTAAATTCTTTCTTGGATGTCTTGAAGGTAAATATGTCAGTTTGTCAGTTGTTTTTCTCTTCTGTTTCTTTCCTACAAAGCATTCTTAACAATAGTTTGTGTTGTTTTTCTGCAGAGCAAGTTCACTTCCAAGTGTGGACCTGATGATGCATTGTCCCAAGAGCAAATTCTTGATGTGATTGAAGATCTCAAGGATCAATCCTTATTTGAAGGTCTAAAATCCTTTGAAAATTATAAAGATTATTTACACACTGAAGGAGGTCTAGTGGAGCCTATTAAAATTGTGACTTATCAGAAAGAGGTGTTAAAAGGAGATACTATTCAACTTGTAGATGTTGATTACGGCTATGTTGTGCCATTCTTACCTGCCCTTGGTAAGATTCTGGAGCAACCTGAGGTGCTGCATTGTGTCAATAACCCACAGCCAACGACAGAAGGAGTTTTCAAATCACCTCTTGATGGATATGTGTATCAAAATCATCCAGTTGTGAGGGAGCATCCGAAAGCACTAGCCATTCAATTGTATTTAGATGGTGTTGAGCACACTGACAGTGCCAGCAGTAAAAGTGGTGAACATGGCTTAACGTACATCTACTGGAATTTGTTAAATATTTATCCAGAGTTACGGTCAACCACTAAAGCCACTAGCTTGTATGCTGTAGTCAAAACTTCTGTTTTAAAAAAGTATGGGCTTAGCAGATTTCTTCAAGATTTTGTTGCTGGCATCAATGCATTGTCAAGCACTGGTGTAGTCTTTGAAACAATTAATGGTGAGCCTTTCTTTGGCATATTTCTATTCAGCTCAGGAGACAATCCAGCCTCAGCAAACCTTGGTGGCTTCAAAGAATCACACTTTGCCAATTTGCTGTGCAGGCAGTGCCTTGTTACCAAAGATGATCTTTATAGAATATTTGAAGAGAGTCAGCTTCCAATGCGAACAAAAGCTTCACATGACCTCCATGTTACTGAAATAGAAGAGTACAGGACAAATCGTCCTCCTGTAGGTGAAGACCCCTCCGTGAAATATGGTGTAAATGAAAGAAGTGTCTTGATGGATATAAACTTGTGTGACATCACAAAATGTTTACCGCAAGATTTAATGCACGACATTATTTTGGGCACTCTGAAACAAGAAATTTGGCTTTTATTACATCACGTCATAGTTGAGAAAAAGGCCTTGCCTATATCTGTCATTAATCTAAGGATCCAGCAGTATTCCAAATTCTGTGGAGTAAACAAGCCATCGCCTTTAAAAATGTCTTATCTGGAAGAGGGAGGTTCTTTGCGTGGCACTGCAGCAGAAACATTAAATTTAGCACAGATACTTCCTTTTGTACTAAGAAAGAAAAACTTTTTGACAAGACAGTTGGAGTCAGTTTGTAATCCCAGAAATCTAGATTGCTACATTTTGAGGCTTAGATTACTAGATTATTTGATGTCTGAGGAGTTCACAGTGGGTGATGTCAACAAACTGAGAATTCTTCTGAGAGAACATCACTTACTTTTTCAAGAACTGTATCCAGGACATAACATTCCAAAGTTCCATTACGAACTCCATATTCCAACCCACATTTTGTTGTATGGGCCTCCTAGACAGCAGTGGTGCTTCAGGTATACTTCCTTATCCATTGAAAGCGTTAATTTTTTGAAAGTTTTTTAATGTCTAATTTTATTAACCTTTATTTCAGGTTTGAGGCAAAGCATGCATTCTTCAAGCGCCTGTGGCGCATAACAAGATGTTTAAAGAACCATAGTTACACATTGTCTATGAGACACCAGACTTGGCAGGCTAGCCTCATGCTCCTAAGTAAAAAAGGAGCCACTGGGCCCTTTCTCAGTTCTGCTGTACTTTGTGGTGCTTCTGTTCAAGTAAATCTAGGCACATGCAAGCATAGAGTTCTCCTGGAAAATGCCTTTCCAGAAGCAGGCATAAATGAAAATGTTTTGCAGCACACCTTTGCAAAAGTTCATGGAGAAAAATACTGCAAAAAATCAGCTATTATAACTTCATTTGACCCACTTCCTTCCTTTGGACAGATAGTTGAAGTGTACTCCTTTTTAAATGAAGTTGTGTTTGTCTACAAGACTTTGACGCGTATTCAATATGTCAAGGAATTGAATGCCTTCAAAGTCCAGTTCACAAGGGACAGCAACCTGATTTTTTCATCAAGAATGCCTTATCGCCATACATTGCCATTTTTTAGGGCAGTGGGGGCAAACTTCATCATTGTACCCTGCAAATACTTTGATGTCTAATTTACAGGTAATTACTTCTTTAATACTACTTTGTCTGCATCAACCTAGTCTTTCCTAATTGGTCTTCTGCTTATATTTTTCCAGAAATTTGTTACTTTATTACCTGGGGCTTCCATATGCTGTGCATTCAAGATAATAAAGTAAATGTTCGGTATCATGAAATTTTCTTCAAATTCTAAGACTCTTATAACTGCGACCTGTGTATATGACAATCTAACTCTGTGATGATAAGACTGCTTTATTGCACCTTTGAGACAACAGAAAATGTGCAATTGACAGTAAATTTTTCTAATGTTTTACTTAAAGAAAAATCTAATTCTTAAGTCTAAAATAAAGCTGAAGATTTATGTATCTCTGTACATGCAGATCTAAATTTGTGACAATCTCTTGCTTCACCTTTCAATTAATACTAAATTGTTGTATGAATGAAGCATTCCGGTAAAGCTGAAATGCAGAAGAATGCGGGGAAAAAGAAAACAAATCACTATGCTTTAACATTGTGACTTCCATTTTCTTGTTCCCCGTATTCTTCTGCACTTCAGCATAACTGAAATGCCTTATGATAACTAAATATTCTAAAATATTTTACAATAACACACCTAGTTCAGTTCATTCTTCTATTTATTCATTTTGTCTTATTATATGGTTGGTTCTGGACTATTTCACTTCAACATGATTCACGGAGCATCAAATTTTCCCAAACCTTGCATCCGAATGTCGATTTTAGCTCTAAATAGAAGTTACTGATTGGCAAGACATGAACAGACACAAGTTTTGTTTTAAACAAAGTGCAATGAAGCAATAATGAACCATTTTGGGATCAAACTACTTTCTTTTAAAAAATAAAACCAAGTGGACATAAAAGACTTATTAAAACTGAACACTACTTACTGTTTATCACTTTCAGAACTCCTTTGTGCATATCATCAAGTCTCTAGCTACAGAACCGGTATGGAATGGTCAATGATAACGGGATCAAACTATTTTCGAGCTGATTTAGCAAAACTGATGGAAAGATATTAGTAGTAGTATTTCTTACATTTCAAAGTGAGTAACGGCTTTAGGATACAAGAGACTGAAAAACAGTTTAATTTGAAGACATTTTAATGAAAGCCAGCAGAAAGCAATTTATGTGGATGGTTTACAGAGGAAAAACAAAGATGTTCTTCAACAACAGGTGTTTGGGAGTCAGCTATGGTGTTGCAGTTCGAAGCAAAGCAATGGCATGCAGATGCAAGCAGAATCTCAGCAATACCTGTCAACAAATTAAATTCACAAGTCAGAAATTACAATGGTAAAACACAAAATTACTTGCAAGCAAGCCAGCACCCTAGAGGTTAAGAGGTTAGAAAAGTGGGAAAATAGAAATGTACACAAGAATACGTCCACATTAAACGGAGGAAGAAAATCGGCCATTTGTATTATTTTTTTGTACTAAATAGTCGGGAGCGAGTGGTTTGCCCTGAATTTGATCGGCAAGTTCAACAATTAAAGCGAAAAGCGCTGCGGTAGGTGAAACCGAAACCGGGAAAACAAAGCACGCAGCAGACGCCCAGACGTCCCCCTCCCCTCTCCACCCCTCACCCCTCTCCTCCGCCACAGCCTGTGCTTGAGTTTAGCTAAAGTTTCGTGTGGTTACGCTCGTTGTTCGTCGCCCTTCGCCTCGTACTGCAAATAACCGCGTTGCATTGTTTGTGCAGTAGTGACGACAACATGGATACTTTAACCTCGCAATCTAATTCAGAAAATTTCGTTGAACGATTTTGTAGTCTATTTCGTGACGACATGGGATGTTTAGCAACGAGGCGATTCATTTTCGTAGCATTCTTCGACCTGGCACGTCGCACCGTAGTGCTGTGTGCGTTAATCCAATCGAAAACGTTTCTCATCGTGCAATTGGCCGAGGCAGCAGTCTTCAACAAGAAGGATGTCGGCTGATTCCCTTCAGGCAGCCAAGTTACCTACTTTCCTGTCAGCATCAAATCCTGCTTCCATCAGATAGCAGGTAACATTATTCAACCAAAACATATCAACATTTTGCCACAGATTGTTCAAATTATAATGGTCGAAAACATGCCAACACTAGGTGTCATTGCTATTAATTGGTGTGTTAAGTAGTCTTAAATTCAAAGCCACTTTTGATGCTCCCTTCCCCACCACAAAAGATTTCGAAAAATAAAAAATGTCCACATTGTTGTATTGTCACGAGACAGCATTCGCAATTGATTAGTCAATGCCATACATTATTATATGCAGAAATAAGCACTATCTCTTATTGTAATCCTGGGGCGATAAATACCTCAGGATTGCATGGAAATTATTTGCATCGCTCCAAAGTAGCGATACAGAGATCCACTGCTGTTTCTGCTATGGATGTCGCTCCAGGAAAGCGATGCTGGCCCATCGCTCAGTTTTGATCAACATCCATCGCTCCCCAGTTTTCAGTGGGCGCGGCGGCCGGGCCGAGATAGGCAAGCCCCTGAAGAGCCTCAAGTCCCGCATGAGGTCCGTGTGAACGCGCGCGCGCCCGGCCCCAGCACCTGCCGTGCGGACACGACTCGAGCAGCATCACCTCCGTGAACCTCTACGATCTGCTCGCCGGGGCCGTCCCTGGGCCGCCACAGCGGTGCCGCTCTGCGCCGGCGACATTTCGCAGACAGGCCGACGGCTGCTTTCGCCAGGTACGGCGCACGCAACCAGGGGGTCGCCGACGTCGACGCGTCGATCGCGCCAGACAGAAAGGTCCGTGACTAGGCTCTCGCCTCGAGCCTCTTGAACCGCGGGCAGGGGGCCAGCAGGTCCTTGATGTGCAGTTGCTGCATCACCATCAGATACGTGCTCGTCATGCAGGTGCAGCCACAGCCTGCAGACTCCGCAGAGCCGGCGCCGTGTCGGGCGTGATGGCGTTGCTCGTGCAGCTCGGTCTTGGTGAAGTTGACGGGGAACGCCAACCGCAGGGCGGGCAGCGAGGGCAGCGCACGCAGCTGGGATGAAGGACATAGTCACCTCCTGCTCGTTCTTGATGAACAACCTCTCCACCTGGGACCACGCGGACTACCTGCAGAGCAACGCGACCCTCCGCCTCCAGGCCCTCAAGGGGAAGCTGCACGCCTGGGTCAATAAGGCGCGCGGCCACCTGGACCGCGACGCGCACGGCGTCGACTTCCGCTACGAGCTCTCGGACCTCGAGATGCACAAGTTGTTCTTCGGCGCGAGCTGCTGTCGCACGACCCAGCAGGCGGCCGACAACTGGCCGTGTCGCTCTCGGCCACCGAGCAGGAGGAGCTCACCAACGAGCAGACGCACCTGACGCAGCTGCTCAAGAACACGCTCAACTCGACCAAGTCGCGGCAGGCGCAGCTCGAGCAGGAGGAGCTCACCAACGAGCAGACGCACCTGACGCAGCTGCTCAAGAAAACGCTCAACTCGACCAAGTCGCGGCAGGCGCAGCTCGAGCAGGACGCACGACTACTGCGCCGCGCTGGAGAAGGTGCGCTCGCTGCTGGGGCTGTACCAGTTCACCGACGAGCCCGTCACTGTAAGAAATCCTGTAGTGCCCGGTGTACGTCAAACGATCCTGCAAATCGGAGTAATGCGATGCCCTTCGGCACATCGGTAGTTGGGACCTAAATAACGGTTTTTGCCCGAAGGAACAAAAATTTTTGCCCTTAGGAAAAATTTTACAAGGGGTTAAAATTAACATGGCGCCTTACGGGGACTTCGGGTAGGCAACCCGCTGTGCTCACCCGGCTATTTCGCGCTCCTCCCGTCGATTGTAGGCGAAAATGAGCACTTCCAGT